ACAGTCTATGGGTTTTTTTGATTTGTAACAGCTGATCTCAGGAAGATATTGATGGTGTTTTGGAAAATTCAGGGTTATTTATAGATGCAACAGACACCTTACAGCACACACAGCTGCCAGCATAATTGATATAAAGCTCTGCTGATCAATACATTTAATTTAAACAATAAATCACAGGGAAGACGTTTAAAGTGACAAACCCACAGAGAAACGTCAGTCAACGCTGCAGCACTACTGAGCTCTTTGGCCTCTTTAAGCTCATTGTTTTAAAATGTAGAATTTTGGATCTAATTAACCCAGTTTCCAGCAACAGGAAGCAGATGTTTTCAAGGGGAGGAAAAAAAAAAGCTCTAAATTTTTTAACCGCAATGAACCAAATCCCAAAAGCTGGCAACTCACTGAGGAGGAAAGTTCAACATTTAGTTTTTATAGAGTAAACAGAACATTTCTCGCCCTATAATTCACATTAATTTTTCACTGTGTAGCAGGAAAACAGTGACCATGTGATATTTATGATGCTATATTTATCTCCAACACCACAGTCTGCTTTCATCCTCAGCCAAGCGAGGCAGTTCCTCCTTATCTGCTGAGGCAATTTACTCTGTAACAGTTGGTTTCATATCCTGTATGGAATAGTGCTGCAGTTTGTGTGCACTGTAACGTACCTCCAAGCACGAAGGTTGTGTATCCGTGCCTCATATCCTGTCTGGAACACAACTGCAGAATTAACATGTATGTGCACACAATAAGATTTAAATGACATGGCGTGGGTTGAAATAATTTGTCTTTATGAGCATTAGCATCATTTTTTTACTATCGGAGACACACACGTCTGCCAGTTGTGACTTCATGGCAGCAAAAATCCACTTTGTTTCACTGTTTCACAGCAGATGCTCAGCAAAATGGAAAATTCTTATCTTGCCACCTGTCAAACATTCTATTGAACGCTATTTTCTTTTCCTGGTTTGAGCTGCTTATTCCTGAGGAACAAAATGTTATCTTGATGTGCTTTTTTGACTGCTAACTTATTTTC